GATTCCGAGAAACTTATTTATCCCTGTCTGCACCAAACCCTCATTACTCGGGAAAACTTATGAATTAATGTAGAGTCAGCCTTCGGCTGAATGATATCGTCTTATTTACGGCCACACTATTTACTTCACTTCAAGTGACCACGACCAAGAGGTCAAATTACTAGGAAGACTCGGCCAGAAGTAACGAATACGATACCTACGGCATCGAGTTTCCGACATTCATTTATTTATGACGCGCTGGAGGTCGCGTTTTTGTACCTAGAACAAGACAAGTCAATCAACCACAGACGCGTCGGCGACACGATAACATTGGTGAATATACCCAACAGTATATTAGTGGTCCCGCAAATGTTGTTATTCTTAAAATAGAGCTTTCAAGTAAAGCATGTTGAATGCTTTCTCTAGGCTGATAGTAAATGAATGACTTTGAATCGAAATACAGAAAGTAGTATTTGGAGGGCTTTAGAGCGCAACTTAGTGGGGGCTGGTATATCCAATCGCCCAAGTTGCGCGATCTGTGCTAGTGATAGTCAGCTTGCCTCCCGGGCAAGCAATGCATGACCACGAGTGTCCACTTCCCCGAGAGCTCATCCCCTCTCCATTCGAATAAGCACCATCAAAGTTGAAGTACCCATTGAGACTGCCCGCCATCTGGGCGAAAGAATCGTAGGTCCCAGGCGATTTAGGCGATTCAGGGTACCAGATTCCGTCCCATTCCGTGTGAATCCCTATATCATGTCTCTCCGTCACCTCAATTCGGGGCCCACAGACAGGAAAAATATTCCGGACGCTACGATAATTGACCGCCTCGAAAGTGGTGCACTGCTGGCCGCTTGGGCAAGCTCTGGTCGTCATCCGCCGGGACCCAGCGACATTCGGATTCCCACAATAGATACGCCTCGTTGCCTGGTCTTGACACGACCCACTAATCGCTCGCCAGCCTGTGCCATATGCTTCAACACACAGATCATGAAGCGCCTGGAGCATGTCATTGGTGACGCGATTGTTGTGAGCCTCCCCGCCGACAGGGTCACGCTTTCCAAGGTTGACAATGCGACCACGCCTCGATAGGCTGCTGCCCGTCTCGTTCCCAGGAAAGCCGCTCATAGTGTCATTCCACGGCAAATCACTCGTCTGGGAACTCCCGTGGGATGCTGCCACCTTATCCAGATATTCCGTGTAGGTCAAGTTGAAAAATATCTGGGGTTCCTCAACCGCAGCCTCTTGAGCATAAGCCCCAAACCCAAGGATTGAGAGGGCGCCAAGGAGTACCATGCTATAGGGCGCCATCTTGTCGAAAGCTCAAAATCCGGAGGGATAATAAGGGGATGTGTCGACGGTAGACTTGGCTCGTGAGACAAAGTAATGGAGATTAGGAATAATGGTAGCTGGGGGAGGGATGGTTTCGAAGTATGAGGACGCGTAAGGGCAAATCTGCTTGTGTTCTTGACTTGAAAGCCAGAGGCCGTGATGGTAGTGATGGATGTCAAAATCGGGCAGGCAGTTCCTCAGTATTTATGTGTCTTTGTTTTCACAAATAGAACTCTATCATCTAGTCGAACACCGTATGTATTCAACTGCCGAGCAAGCTGGCAGGTGATGGATCTAAGGAGCAGTCATGATGGTCTGACTTATAGTTTCATTCAGGTGCAGACACGGAACCACGGCGAAACCGTGCGGCTTTTACCGCTATGGCGAGAACTGTATATGTTTTCCATAAATTCCTTTCTGGGAATTGACTTCAGTACGTGGCCCGGTCACCTGTGGTCGGCATTGCTCGTCTCGACTCCATCTGTTCTGACCACCCAGGTTATGTTAGAGTCCAGTCCCAGTGGGGTAGGGATAACATGACAGAACTCTATATGGACCTCCGATGCAAGGAGATATGACGGCCCATCTTTCTATCCTCCCGGAACCTACGGAGGTTCATACCAAAAGTCTTTGCCGGCCAACAGGGATCAGCAACCACCCTTGCAAACTCAAATAGGGTATCCCTGCTGAATTTGTTAGCCATCTTCCATGAGTGATTTTTACACCGTTCTTCCCCTCTTT